ATGTCTCAGTTTTTTATGTTATTTTTTATCTTTTATTCCTTAGATTATATGGTTATAGAAAACTAATAATATAGAGTGCTTATTTTCTAATACGAATGTGGGCCATATATATAACTAATTAATTGGATTTTTACCGTAATCAATTATGGGCCTTTGATATGTTGAGGTCTAGGGTTGTGTTTGTATTTTGTGTGCATATGTGTATATAAATATATAGCGCTCTTGAACGTGCGAGATTTAGAAGTTTGATGTGTATCAATATCTCTTTGATCGTGATGTTAGATCTTGATTATAAACTACCTTTTTTTGTTTCTCTTAAAGAGAAAGAATTCGGAACCGTGGGTTTTTCTATAGATGTTTCGATCATACGATTATGGGATGTGGTTGTCGATGGGAATAATGATTCTACTCGGATGATTTTAGTTGACGACGAGGTATTCTTTACAAACCAAAAAAAACAAAGAAATTTCCCAATATCATAAACATGTTTTTCATCTTATAAATACATCCAATATTTTTTTGGGTATTTTGTAGGGTATGCGACTCAGTGCCTTCGTTGATTTCGATTGTGGTAGACAGTTCTGTCACCAACTGATGGAGGGAAACTCTTTACGGATATCGAGATTTGGATTAATGGAATCCCGTGTAAAATATAGGCCAATTTATCTACCGTTTGGATTGCAATTCTTACCCGAGACTATTATTAAAGAATTGGATCTTTCTGATAAAGTGCCTCGGAATAAATATTTGAAATCCTTTCCTCGAATACTTTCCCCACGATCTAATAAGCGATATTTATTCGGTAAACCTAATCTTTTCAAATTTAAAATACTTCTTATTGATTTAGTACATATTTCACTTGTGCTTTTTATGTATGTAGACGTTATTGGTCAGATTATATGTATTCATCCATTAAAGAAGGTACCTTTTAATGGGATCATGATTAGTCGGCTCAATATAGAATTGAGAGACAACGTGTGAGTTTTATTTCGCTGATCCTTTTATTATATGGTTGAATCGTTTAGCTCCGTCGGTGTTTAAATCTTCCTATCTATTTGCAGGGATTCGCGTTTGACGTGTATTTTATGGGATGGATATGCGGATGCTTTCACCGAATATGCGAGGACTAATATTACCTCTTACGTCGTATGTGTATTCCATTTTTTTGGTCTTACCACTTACTGCAGTTCGTCTCTTTATCATGCTATATTGGATGCTCGCATTGTTCTTCATTCATACTAACGTGTAATATCTTCTGTAGGTTCTTTAGTTATTTCGAATTACTTGGCTGCATCTAAAATACTCATTGATCCAGAAACACTACAAAACGGGTTTATTAATTCTTTGTAAGTTCTCGGATTGAACAATATGGTCTGTGAATTAACACTATATTAAATAAAGTTTGGTGATGATTCGATTTATTCCTAGGTTACGTGGTGATGAGATTGACTTAACTCCAAATGATACTATTGATCAGAGTAATATTACCGATGTTTCTTTACACGATGAATTTTTCAATCTCAATCCTCGGATGAACATCCGTCAAGCTATTTATGCAGATAAGGTATTGTAGTTTACATATCATATTTATAATTTATTTCTATTTATTAAGTATAAGTTTACCACTTTGTTATGTAGGAGGGATCATTTGTCGTTATAGTTAACGTTGATTTTGTTGATAAACTCAATCCTTGGTATTATCATTCTTGCAAAATTTGTAAGAGTAAGGTGTTGCCTTATTTGAGAGGTTCTAATGCCACTGAACCACTTATATACCATTGTGATAAAATCTGCAAACATGATGTATATGACGTTGATGTGAGGTAATATGTCATGGATCACTTTATTTTACCTCTTAACTTATATATATAACAATAAGTTGATGTATTCATTTGTGTTATTGGTATAGGTATTTTTTAATTTTACAAGTCTCCGATCTCACCGGCGAGTCTATCAGGGTACTATTCTTAGATGGTATTGCACAATCTCTTTTTTGTGTTAGTGCTAAGGATCTACTCGACAGTATCAATGAGGTATTTTGTATTATAATATTATGATTGTCCCACCTATTCTTATACTAATATTTTGTATTAAGTGGTATGATATTGATAGTTTCTTACTCTTCTAATTCCAGAACGATGAAGCTGTTTTACCTAGCACTATTAAGGGTCTCGAAGGGAAAGAATTTCTCCTTAAGCTTGGGATATCTGATGATAATGTCAAAGCACGTGGCGAAAACTATATTGTTAGAAGATTTTGCGATGATGTTCATATGATCAACATGTTTAGATCGTTATAATTTGGTTTATTTTATCTGTTGTTAAGATAATACCATCGTGAACTCATTTCCATTGTCATCCTCTCATACTTATAGGTTTGTTATTAAATATGTCATTTTTTAAAAAATATTTATATATCTCTTGCATTAATTCGATATGTATATACTAACAATAAATGTAAAACGATAGCATTCTATCAAATAGCATTCTAAAATCATTATTTAAAGATCAAGTCCTGCAGAGGTATTTATTGGACAGTATCGATGAGGTATTTTCTATTATAATATTATGATTGTCCGAATGTTACTGGTCAATGTGATGTTAATAGTTTCTTATTCTTCTTATTTCAGAGCGATCATAGTGTTTTACCTAATACTATTAAGGATCTCGAAGGAAAAGAATTTATCCTTAAGCTTTGGATATCCGATGATAATGTCAAAGCATGCGGCGAAAATTATATTGTTAGAAGATTTTGTGACAATGTTGATATGATCAACATGTTTAGGTCGTTATAATTGGTGTTATTTTAGCAGTGGTTAAGATGATATCCTCTTATTATGTTCACGAATGATATGTGATCTTCTCATACATATGGGTTTGTTATTAAATATGCATTTAAATGTGGAATTTATTTTTTTAACAAACATTTCCCTCGACCACCATTTTATCTTTTTAAAATCATTATTATTCAAGGTTTACATACCCGCGCAGGGCGCGGATAACACACTAGTTATATAATAGATCTGAGAGTGAGTCACTGAATGTTTCATAATTGTTCAGCTCGATTTGATTGATGAGAATATTTAATTTGACAATAGACGTAACTTTGAAGGAAAATTCGGAATGACCCATTACTGCTTTGCCCCAAAAAAGGACGTACCTCC